GACAAGCCACTATTTGTGGGAGTCAACGTTTTGAGTGTCCACTGTGGTTTTATTGGTATAGTCATGTATCCGTTTGGCATTTAAATATGGGCATAGGGCGTTTCAGATTTTTCTGGAGCGCGATAGGACCCCATCAACAAGTCCTAACGAGTGGGGAAACCGACACCCCTTGGGTCCACATGGAAGCTCGGTATTATATTTTGACATTTTAAAAAATACTTTTTTATTTTAATTATTAAAAAATGCAATGTTACTATATGTAATTAAATATATATTACTTACAAATCTATTTAGACTATTTGATTAAATATGTGACTACTCCACTTACTTTGCAATATGTTTTAGTTGTATCTTGCATATATATAGTAAATGGAGAAAATATATCTGTATAATAAAATAAATTTATTTGCTTTGATCGATTTTGACTGTCTTGTTCTATTTCGTTTCGAAATGGCAGAGCTAGTCCACAGTTAAAGTGATAAGTGATATTAGTTACTAGACAAATATGCCGAAAGACTATTACCAAAAGAAATGCAGTGAGAGGACACCAAGTAACTTCATGCATGGGTGGTGAGCATGGTCAGTTTTACTTCGCAACTTCATGCATGGGTGAGCATAGTCAGTTTTGATTTGTAATGTCATGCATGAGTGAGCGTAGTCAGTTTATTCGTGGGGTTGTACTTTGTAACGTCGTGCGTGGATGAGCGTAGTTTGTATTACTGTAACTTCATGTTTTACTGTTATTTCAGTTTTTTTTTCGTATCGTCGTGCATGAGTGAGCGTAGTCAGTTTTACTTTGAAATGTCATGCATGGCTGAGCGTAGTTGGTTTTACTTTGTAAAACTTCATGCGTCATGCATAAGTGGGCGTAGTCGGGTTTACTTTGTAACGCTATGCATGAGTGAGCACATAGTCAGTTTTACTCTGTAACTTCATGCATGAGTGAGCGTAGTCAGTTTTACTTTGTAACGTCATGCATGAGTGAGCGGAATCAGTTTTACTTTGTAATGTTATGCATGAATGCACGTATTCGGTTGTACTTTGTACCTTCATGCATGGGTGAGCATAGTCATGTCTACTTTGGAACTTCATGCGTGAGTGAGCGTAGACAGTTTTACTCTGGGACTTCTTGCATGGGTGAGCGCAGTCAGTTGTACTTTGTAACTTCATGCATGGGTGAATTTTCAGTTTTACTTTGTAACATCATGCATGACTGAGCGTAGTCAGTTTTACTTTGTAACGTCGTTCATGCATGAGTGAGCCTAGTCAGTTTTACTTTGTAACGTCATGCATGGGTAAGCGTAGTCAGTTGTAACTACATGCATGGGTGAGCGTAGTCAGTTTTAATTTGTAGCTTCATGTGTGGGTGAGCGTAATCAGTTTTACTGTGTAACATCATGCATGACTGAGCGTAGTCAGTTTTACTTTGTAACGTCATTCATGCATGAGTGAGCCTAGTCAGTTTTACTTTGTAACGTCATGCATGGGTGAGCGTAGTCAATTGTAACTCCATGCATGGATGAGCGTAGTCAGTTTTAATTTGTAGCTTCATGTGTGGGTGAGCGTAGTCAGATTTACTTTGTAACGTCATGCATGAGTGAGCACAATCAGTTTTATTTTGTAACTTCATGCGTTGGTGAGCGTAATCAGTTTTACTGTGTAACATCATGCATGACAGAGCGTAGTCAGTTTTACTTTGTAACATCATTCATGCATGAGTGAGCATAGTCAGTTTCACTTTGTAACGTCATGCTTGGGTGAGCGTAGTCAGTTGTACTTTGTAACTCCATGCATGGGTGAGCGTAGTCGGTTTTACTTTGTAACGTCATGAATGGGTGAGCGTAGTCAGTTTTACTTTGTAACGTCATGCATGAGTGAGCGGAATCAGTTTTACTTTGTAATGTTATGCATGATTGCACGTATTCAGTTGTACTTTGTAACTTCATGCATGGGTGAGCGTAGTCAGGTCTACTTTGTAGCTCCATGCGTGGGTGAGCGTAGTCAGCTTTACTTTGTAACGTCATGTATGAGTGAGCACAATCAGTTTTATATTGTAACTTCATGCGTTGGTGAGCGTAATCGGTTTTACTTTGTAACATCATGCATGACTGAGCGTAGTAAGTTTTACTTTCTAACGTCATGCACGAGTGAGCGTAGTCCGTTGTATTTTGTAACGTCATGCATGGGTGAGCGTAGTCAGTTGTACTTTGTAACTCCATGCATGGGTGCGCGTAGTCGGTTTTACTGTGTAGCTTCATGCGTGGGTGAGCGTAGTCAGCTTTGCTCTGTAACGTCATGCATGAGTGAGCATAATCAGTTTTACTTATTACTCCATGCGTGGGTGAGCGTAATCAGTTTTACTTTGTAACATTATGCATGAGTGAGCGTAGTCAGTTTTACTTTGTAATATCATGCATGGGTGAGCGTAGTCAGTTTTACTTTGTAACGTCATGAATGGGTGACCGTAGTCAGTTTTACTTTTTAACTTCATGCATGGGTGAGCGTAGTCAGTTTTACTTTGTAACGTCATGCATGAGTGAGCGGAATCAGTTTTACTTTGTAATGTTATGCATGAATGCACGTATTCAGTTGTACTTTGTAACTTCATGCATGGGTGAGCATAGTCAGGTCTACTTTGTAGCTTCATGCGTGGGTGAGCGTAATCAGTTTTACTTTGTAACGTCATGAATGGGTGAGCGTAATCAGTTTTACTTTGTAACATCAAGAATGGGTGACTGTAGTCAGTTTTACTTTTCAACTTCATGCATGGGTGAGCGTAGTCAGTTTTACTTTGTAACGTCATGCATGAGTGAGCGTAGTCAGTTTTATTTTGTAATGTTATGCATGAATGCACGTATTCAGTTTACTCTGTAACGTCATGCATAGAGAATTTTCCTTCTAGGGTCACTTTGGCCAAGATCTTGATATTTAAACCAAAAACGTGACAATTTATACCAGCCAATCCTTAGTTTCGTCACGCAGTTTTGTACATATATGTTAAGCTAATACAACAGAGTGTGTCGATATGTTATGTAGAATATGAGCGACTTAGTATTAATTATGGGGCTCTATAAGAAGCCTATAACGTGTTGGGCGGTGACATTTCGGGCTATTAACTTCCTTTGATGTATCCCTGCCATGTTTCACGATAATTAACAACTTCACCACTTTGAATATGTAAATGTGATGAATGAAACGACGAAATTGTGTGGTGATAAAAACAAATGATTCCAGTATCGTAGATATAGACGTGTAAATAATTCTTGCAATGTAGAGGTCCAAATAAATATATAGTAATGTTGAGGGCTGCTAAAGTTTACGGCAAACCCAACAGGCAGGTTATTAACATACTTTATTCTAAAATATGCAAACAATAGCAACATTAAATTATGCAAAACAAATTAAACCTCATCATTTAACTTAAAAACAAGCAAACATATCCGCTCATTGCGGCAAGTAAATTAGCACTACTCAACGGCAAACTCCTAACACTAAATAAATAGTAAACAGCCGACTGGCAATGATTCGAAATAATAAATAAACAAGAATGATTGAAAAAGAAAAGACTGATAAAGGGTTTTGTTTACGCCGAAATGCCTATTCCTGCCCACGGACAGATGGTGAAATTGTTTCAAAAAGGAAGTAATTTATGAGCGGTCAACCAAATAACAAAGCTCAATGACCGATATCTCTTAAAATAAACACGGTCAAATATATACAAAATAAAACAAAGAAACTTTGTCTGTAACATGTTACGTCGAGATGTTAATTAATTAATTTAAGTCGCTGCTTAAGATAGTTATTTAACCCGATGTCAGTCATTCAAAGCTTGCACAAGGTTTTAAAATGCCAGCCCAAGCCCCATAAACGGCGCTCCAGAAGTGTGTGTACAAATATGGAGGTAACTAATTTTGTTGCCCACTTTACATCAAGGACTGAAACCTACGGTAAGGGGTATATTTACTTGGCCAACACAGGCAGTCCGATTTCAAAATATAACGAAAATAAGGAAAATCTGAATAAAGTTATGGTATATTAACCCTAACCCAGTTCACATACTACGGGAATATTCATCCTATAAACTTGGCAATGTGTAGAAATATGAACCAGCTTGCAATTTTATTTACAATTACCAGAATATTAATAAACGTGAAAGACTTCTAGCATACTTCCACCCATGTTTATTTTTTTGGTTAGACATGGGCATTTGTCACAATATTCAAACATAGGTGAAGCAAGTGTTTGCCTGAAGCAGCGGGCTTATATTTTTTGCCATCTTGTAATTTTCATGGCATAGAACGCATCTGTTATTGAAGCTGACGTTTGCTATCTGTGCCCAAATCGTGCGGTACTTACCACCGTGTCTATTTGATACAGAAAACATGAGATTTTAATACAACGATGACTTGTAATATCTTGTTACAATGGAATTGTTTGTCGGTCAATGGTACAGAACAGTCACCTAAAACTGCATGGTCAGCGAAAGTCATTTTGCTGTCACCGATTTTGACAGACGGATCTTGATGGGCGACGTACCAACAGTTGAAAAGATGGATTGGTCTTCTTGTACAAGAGCTTATTTACTTGTAATTACTGATAATGTTGGCAGTTTTGTAAAGCTGGGCGATTTTTGCTGCGCAAACATACTTCTATAAAAAGCCACGATCTGCATTGTGCTGATAACAATATTGCCATATCATCTCTATTGTAAATATTGTATAATGCCCAGATACGTTTAAATAATACTCCTACACCCCTCTCTTTGAAGTCCCAGATGAGCAATTTCATAAAAAAAATACAAAAAGGGTAGGATTTGGGTCAAGTCCCTGCTCCCTTGGCACAAATAGAAATAGCTACTCTGAATTCAAGTTTACTGGTAATGCGGTTTATTAGTTTTCAATATTCAACTTATTATTTAGTATACTTGCGTTATTAACATACAGATCTTCCGTACAACGGAAATTTTTATATTAATTTATGACATCATATTACATGAACATCTTTGTTATGACGCCAAAATTAATTTCACTTAGAAAACCATATGACGTCACTATGATTTTTCGCATTGTTGAAATACATGATACTAATTACATTAACTGGCGTAACCTTTTTCCAACTATCCATAATCAAATGAATTATGGTAACCTCTCGTACATTGTGAGCTATTTTCACAGAGATATATAAATATGGAGTGTGCTTCTAACTCGTTTTCGCGGGATCATTTAAAGCCTCTCTCGTTTTGACGATATGCTTCCAAATTTTCCGATGCGCGCAATGCATTTCTTATGGAATTTTACAAAAAATAATTATTTGCGTCGATTTTTTTTTGCATATTCGCATGTTCTTGATTAGTTTCTCATTATATATCAAACGCTAATATACCCCAGCCCACCATACGGTCTAATTTTGGCAGTTATATGAATATGCGTAAGTCGTGGTTACTAACATGGCCAACGTATCAGTCAGAAGCGAACAAAAACGATCACAGAACATCAGCCAAGAGGGCTTATCGGAATCGATTACCCATTTGCCTATATTTGGCCATATTTTATTGCCGTAAGTATTTTGCGTGGCCTGGCGCCGTAGTGGCCTACCCGAGATATATATTTAAATTGTCCAATATGGAGGTAACTAATATTGTTCGCCTACTTTACATCAAGTTGTGTAAAGGGACCGAAGGGTATATCCATTTGGGTAACACACACAGTACTCGAACTTGTAATGGAACTAATATAAGAAAAGTCGGAATAAAGTTATGGCCTAACCTCAACTTGGTACACAGACTACGGCAGTATCAACTAAACTTCTCTTCTTCCTATACTGGAGACTTAGGTGAAATCTTCCCCGTGGAGGTTATTGCATTTCATGATACCAGGCAAAAACAATTGTTTCCACTTATATCTATTGTACAATCGCCTAAACCTAAACAACCAAATTTTTTCAAGAACGAGACCTACATCAGGCTCTAAAAATACAACTCGAATACATTTGTATTTGAACACCCACAAAGTGTCGAATATAAATTCATATGCGGCGCACTGGGTAGTAAAATAGACGAAAACTGGCCAAAACCATATGCAACACGAAGAAACTTTGGAAGCATAGATGCCAAGATGGCGGCGATCATATGATCCCGCGGCGAGACAACGCAAAACGAGAGAGAAGATCGTTCCATATATTTTCATTTCAGTGGCTATTTTCGACGAATCCCACTCGGAAAAATAAATTACCTGAAAATCGGAAATTGAACGCTGCACAGTTGAAATTCAGATTACAAGGAGGTAATTAGCCCTAAAATCTATTTTAATAAACTGTGGCATATTTAAAAGCTCTGTGACCTTTCAGCGGCTGTATTCCTAATTAACAAATGGAATACTTGAAACTTGTTATTGAGACTCGTAGAAATGTAGGAATTAGGACAACTTTCTATACCGCAAGTCTAAGTCGCTCATGCCGATACCAAGTTATTTCGTTTTCCACTTTCATTCCCTTTGTTCTCCAGTTTGAATTATATGATTAAGCAAACTCCCGGTCATCAGAACACGAAACTTTGCATTAAATGGGGAAGGAAAAGTTAGATGCCTTCCTAGACCGAGCTATTGGATTTAATTCTGCGGGAATTCGAGTTTTCATACATCGCCGATTCTTCTTCCCGTTCCCGAAATGGTAACTATATTTGTTTAAAAAATTGTTAATTAATCAGGTGAAGGTTCGATTTAATGATGTGAAGTACCAAGATACTAGGTTTAGTTTTAACTTGCTCATATAAATACTTTTAATTGCTAATACATTATATTATCGCTAGAAAACCTAATAATTACGGCGAAAATTGCGTTTTTGATAACATCACCATCCATCTTGAAGCGATATTTTGAGTTTTTTGCCTGAAGTTGATGGAAAGCACGTGCAATGCACTTGTTATATTCAAATATATTTGAATACAACAAAAAAACGAACATCAAAGGCGGAAAATCAAATTATAATCAATGAAACCCTAGTAACTTAATTCGATATGCGATAATAAGTAGTTTCCCAACCCCATTTATTTGCAAATTTCAAAATTTTTAATTTTTTTTAGCTATCCAATCATTAAGTAATATATCGTTGAATGCGTCTCTCAAATACCAATTGAATGGTAACAACATTTTTGGTTTGTTTTAATTATATCAAAAGTTATGACCAAAAAACGATGAATAAAAAAATGTTGAACCCAATTTTCTCGAAAACTATTCAATGAATTTTGATTATAATATTTTTAGTTGTGTTTCATTGAAATATATTCGAGAATACTAGAATTTTCAGTACAGCTTCAACACAACAATTTTTATTTATTTGGGGGTCAAAGGTCAAATATGTAATTGAAACCACTCCGGCCACGATTGGGCACCAACTCGACTATATTAAACGAACTGTATTACTTGCGTGACATTTTGTCATACCATTTTCTATTAAAAACCGCTAAAAATAACGCTGCGAGTAGCTCATTATATGCCACAGAAAACGAGTGGCCCAACTGCAGCAAAATATAGCATATGTATATGTATATATATATAGAGAGAGAGTCATTCGAATGATTTACATAAACAGTCAATGTATTTTAGATGCATGTACTCTATTCACATGCCACACCATTGTGTCTGTGTTATCGACCCAACTCCGATAAGAAAAGGATTCGCCTGCACAACTAATATTTATCACAATGCATTACTGGTAGGCTCGCAGGCCGTGGGCAAATGTAACTGCCAAATTTTGAAAATATAGCTTTATGCGAAAAGCGAGAATATGGTTTCGCGAGCACGAATTACATTTCCCAAAATACTGTCAACCCGGATTTTTTCGCCAATATAGTTTTGCAACAACGACGTTTGCTCAATTGCCGAAACGAACTTACGTGAGGATGTAATTTTACGATAACTAACTCTTGGTTGGAAGAATTTAGGTTTGCGCGTATGAATTTTTTCAGAAAAGGTCCACGAAATTTCGATGCCAAGGCTTTTTCAATCGAAATCAAATAGACTTGGACACAGTATATGCACAAATTAACCTAAGTTCTACAAGGAGAATTTGCAAACATCATGCGATAATATATCTTGAAGAAAATATCTTGAAAAAGTTTTACTATATATTGCACGTCAACACAGTTTTTGTGATATTCTATAATAGCATATCTTTAAGGAAAAGTTTTTAAAAATAGAAAGTCATAGATTTGACAAAATACCGAAACTTATGCCTTTTTAATAAAACAAACTAAGCACTGTTGCAATCTATCGCCATAACAAAAAGGCGATATGCGATACTGTTGTATAAAATACACCAAGTAACCCATTAGTAAACGGAAGAAATCTAATGGAAATCCTATTTTATGATCTGATTTATTCAATATTTGTACATTACTTTCTATTGTGACCACTTGTAACACAAACATTTGTATAACTTATGTGTTTATTCTTACAGTTGAATCTCATGCGAATAGCAACACAAAGATCTTATTTGCATCAGATTATTTAACATATATTCTTGCTGTTGATTGTAATAAATTTGAAGGTAATTTTTGAAGTGTAACAATTGCAGGGAACAAATTAGTTTTTACTTTGCGTGAAAGTAAACGTGAGTAGAAATCTTATATTTCAAGTCCCCGTTTCGAGAAACATCAAATGCGGTAAATGAGACAAAAAAACATAGTAGCATTGTGTTTCCAGCGCAATCAGACACGCACAAAATAACAGATGTCATAATCTAATAAAATGAAATAAAATCCAAAGTGTGTGAAATTTGATACCAAAACGGATACCTTGGTGTACTTAGTTTTGATCGGTTCTTACCAATATTCACTATAGTAATTATTTTCATAATACAACATTAATTACAACATAGTCTCAAACTTTTCAGGGATTCGATGGATTGGAGTGTTTACACCAACACCATATCCAACAGCGGAAGATCTTCTTGGCGTCAGAAATACTTTGATTGGTTTGAATGTGACATCGCCTCTAAATTTTCTCAATGCCACGGCCGAAAATTGGATTGTTTGCTTAAATATTATATCCACTCATCCTATTATAGAACGATATAGCAAATAAATATTCAGACGCATAACAAAAAAATATTCACCTATTTCACTGTTTGTTTGATAGACAATGTTTGGAATACTTGCTTTATTTACTATCGGATCTCTCTATCAATCTCTCTTTCACTCTATTTCAAAGGCGGGGTATTACGGAAAATGTATTTGGGGAAATTGATTTTATATAATTGTTTAGAACGTAGCGCTTAACGTTTCCACAAAGTTTCCACGAGAAGGAATTTTCGAGGACCGCTTAAGTCAGTGGTTTTTAAACTTTGTGAGTCTGCCGAACCCCTACGCTATTCCGCAAGCTTCTCTCCAACCCAAAATATTTGAACTAAGAGCGCAACCTGAACTTATTAAGGATAAGTCGATTTTGTACAAATTTATAGAAAATTTGACCGCCTTCAATTGATAAAATATGAATTCGTTGCCTTACTGTTGAGCATAAGTCATTTTTGCGATTTAAATTTGAAGTAAATGCTTTGTCAAGAGAGTATCAACCACCGAAAAAAAACTGGTTGCTCCATTGGCTGTAGCAGAATAAATTGCAACAAACAGTAAACTTCAATTATTCATTAAATTTATTAGTGATATTTCTACTGCTGTTTTTGGGTAACCAATTGAGGGATACGTGGCTTCGATTCAAAAGGGGCAATTCTCACGCCATTCTCGCATTGGAGTCACGTTCAGTTAAACAGGTAAAGCCATATTGCCAATAATCATCAGACCAAGTTCTTTTCTTGGATGACATATTTAACGAAAAAAATCCTCGGAATTGCAAAGAGTTTTTGTAGAAAAGAAACGTTGAACCTATGTGAAAATTGTGGTGCAATCTTAGATATATACCAGTACGCCGGGTCGAAATGACTTGGAGGTCATTTGTAATATTTTTTATAGCTTGACAATTGACTACTCTCGAAAACATTCCATCTGGAGATTTAGATGACAGATACCAGACTGAAGAAGGTATCTATCAAGAAAAGTTAAATATAATTTGATCTTATTTGCAATTGGGTATTGAAGAGTTTCCCTAAATTGCTGCACCCCATTTCGAAGGGCAAGTGTACTCATATTTACTTATTGAAGTATTCCATTAGTTTAGCATGTATACCTCATACATCAAATACGTTCATAAATACTTGCCTGAGACCAGTCTACATTCTCTTTTGGTGTCAAACCACATTTGTCATAAATGAACGAGGTTGGATGGCTATGGACATCTATAACCACAGTAATGCACGCTGTTAGAAATAGGCTGCATGTCAACATAATGCAGTTTATACAACCTTCTTCCAGCAAGATTTTCAGAATCATATCGCCAGATGTAAGTCATTCCATATATATATCAGACGGGATAGGAAATGACGTTTCAAGAGATACTACATGATTTCTACAGCTTTGCCTACAATTCTCTTCCATGTACTGTTATATATCTGCACATTTTCTAGGTGTACTTTACAGTTGTAAAGTTTTAGGTTTTCGCAAAAAAAACGGCAGAATATAATTCAGAAAATAAAAATCACTCTGAAATTAACGCCCTTCGAAATCAAAATTTTAGAAAATTTACAGTAAGGAATATCGATCACGACATTCTTCATTCCATCATATTATATGATACTACGTTTCAAAATCATTACTGAAAGAATATTATTTGACTGTTTTATTATGCTTTGAAATAAATACCCAGAAAAGAGAAATGTTCATAAAATTAAACGAAACCATGGAGTAAAACGAAATTCGGCATCTTTTCATTATTATGGCGGTATGCAATTGGCACGGATATAAAACCTATAGTTACGCCATGGAAAATTCTGTTGCATTTCTGATGCTAATTTTACTTCAAGCATATATATGTTCGCTCATTTGTTCAACTAACGCTAATTCATCACGAGTTTATTAAAATTTGTGATAAAGGCATAAAAGCTTTCAAAGTTCATGTATATATCCTGAATTGAGTTAAGTAAATATTTGTGTGAAATACATACTCTTGACATATCAAAAGTTTTATATGTATTGCAAAAAAACAATTCGTAGCATGAATTGGCGAGAGATATCACAAAATGTGGTTCAAATCATTGTCAAAGTAGTGCTTGACCTTTTTCTCCCATTTGTACCCGATTAACGGGAGGAAATATATATATATATAAGAAATCCGCTTTGAACAAAAACAATCAATCGCCGTGGTTATGAATATTATTGGTCCAAATAATTATTCGGAGTGCATCATCTTTCTAATCAATAAAGTGTGACTTCGTTTAACTTATTTTATATATACTGTAACAAAGACATCGAGAGCGAAATCATTGAGGGTCATTGGTCAAAAATTTGAGTGGTAAACAGCAGCAGCCTCAGTCAAGGCAACTTCATTACATATTCTTATCGATACCCCCGATGTGGATTGCTTCGGCGTTGAGACTTGATTTGCTATTTGGAATTGAAAATGTTGAATGATCAGATAACGGACTTTGTGGTGAGTTACGCGTCAAAATAATTCGTGTCCCAATTGTATGATTGTCACCTCATGTGAATACCGTAATCATTTGCTCCAAAATATATATATATTCTATAATCTATATGGTAACAGTTGGAATAGTGGGAAATTTGGTATATGTGAGACAAATGCCCTAAAATGGCACAAATTAGAAACGACATTTGTAGACACCGTAGACTACCGGTACTGTGTCATTGTTAGTCATTGTACATTCGTTCCCATCTTCGGACATTGCTCTCTTAGAATGGAATAAATAATAAATACTTTTTTGGAATAAAAACGAGGACTTCTGCATATTTCAGAGAAAAACGGTGTTTTTCATTTTCTTTCAATCTGACCAATTTGTTTCTCTGTGGAACTAGAGATGAGTGGAATTCTATCAAACAAAAGCTGAACGCTGAGACACGGGACATGTGGCAAATAAATCCATTAAAACCGTTTTTCCTGCTTTTACTAGCTATGAGACACCAGGGACTCTATTGAGCCCATTTGAATTTGAGTCACCAATAGTTTTTAGATGTTCTTACACAGTGCATAATATTCTTTCTTTATTTTCTATCAGCTCTCTCTATCTGTATTTTTGTCTATTTAAAAGTAAACAAAAATTAACATTTACATAAAATCGGCTTAGGTTTCATGGCTGTATTTGTAGGCGTTTGAATCAGCAGAAATCGATTACAGCCACTTCAATGAACCGAGCTGACCTTAAAGTAAATGACGCTGGAAGCAGAGTCCGATCCCAAACTTTGATTCAAGTTAATATACTTCTTCGTAAGGTACCATTATTTTCTATATTTGATTGAAGCTTCCCTTCGCGTAGGTAGGTGGAGAGTAAAGTGAGAAAGTAATTCACTGAAGGACGCATATTACAATATATATCATATATATATGTGAAGTACGTTTTGGTATGAGAGTGGGTTCTGAAGTGCTGATTGTGTAACTAGTTTGGGGTTTCGTATTGGGCTTGTAAGATGTGTACATAGTAAAGTTACTTCCAACGTAAATGTACCGCACCGTCCTTGGAGATTGTATCGTGCGCCGCCTACATGCTCACATCATATTCAGTGTGATGCGAGATTGTAAGGTGTTCAGAATGCCAGAAGTTATTGCATGAAGACTTTTATTTGGAGGTCCAAATGACAGGACAAGGCTTCAGTAATACCCTATAACTCGGAGCCGTTTCAAAGAATATTACCCTACGCGTACTGATTTCACCTACAGGGCTTTCAATCATATTAGTGTTAATTTTGCTTTGAATTGATATAATTTATGTATTTCGAAATTCTAAAATCGGGTAAATATGTGAGTATGATGACAGGATAAGTGGCGACGAATAGGAAAATAGTAACAAGAGCGGAATTATGTGCAATAGAAGTTCTACAGAAGGGATCAAGTATGAACTTGAATATATTGCTGAGAAGCTTATAGTGCTTGAAATCAGTATGACCGAAATAAGTTGCACCATGAACGTCTGGGTTATGGATATGAGAACAAATAAATAATAGTGTTAACGATATCACAAATCGTGGATTCCGTGAGTAATGAACCTAGTTGTCATACCCAGATTTTCCGGTTTACGATGTCATACTTGTCCCAAAGTGATGAAAATTGGCGTATAGGGGAATTGTACATGATTAAACTATTGTAATCACTATGTATAAGAATATTCCGATAATATTTATTCCTCATCTGAATTGTAGGAGACAGACAGGATGAAATAGTTTTCTGCAAACTATATTTATAGTTATCTTTATTTCAGATTGACGAACAGGTATTCCAGAACATATTAAATTGATATTTGTCGTGTCTCATTTGTTCCCCGTATGTAGGATAAGTGGGGCAAGCGGGACACGTGGGATAAGCCGGGCTTGTAGTACAAGTGAGATACGTCCGACAAGTGGGGTAGGGAATAGTACAAACGAGACGAATTAGGCCGGCAAATTGGATAGGTGGGACACATAGAAAAGTGAGACAATTTGAGCGACCAAATGGGACACGTGGCACAAGTGAGGCAATTGAGGTGGCAAACGGGATACATTGGCACAGGTGGGAAAATTAGGACGATGTGGGATACGACATTTTTGAGACGGCCCTCTTTTTACTGCCTTATGTTTGGGTAGGATCTATACTGCGATCTTGAAGTGACTGCAATCGACTTTTACTTAATAAAATTTTACCTCAATTGGCAAAGCCAATACTCCATATAGCGGCAATTCAATGATTCGTTCAGGTGAAGTTCTCATTTAGATCGCCTCTTGTTGTTCAGGTATACCAGTATAGGTCGATAAAGGCGCTTCACTACTTTGATAATAATTAAGGCGCTCCCGTAGTATGTGCACAAAGATGGCGCACAACCTTAACCCTAACCTGATACAGGTACTATGTTCAGGTTGTGCGCCATCTTGGTGCAATACTACGGAAACACCATAATTTGACCTCACACTTTGTGATATCTCTCATCAATTTATGCTACGATTTATTTTACGACTCTTATAAACTTTCAATTTGTC